TTTTGATTTCAAACCCTCGTTCTTCGCCTTTTCTGACCAGTGGATCCGCATCTGCGACTCTGGGACCGCACCTGCGGTCCCGCTTCTGCAGAGACTAAGCCACACCTGCAACTTTTCATTAAACCAACAATTCCGCACCTGCGACCTCTTGTACGTAGATGCGGTGCCGCTTCTGCGGTGCCTGGGCCGCATCTGCGACCAATCCTAATTTCGCCTCAGACCGCACCTGCGGTCCTCCAAACGCTTCTGCGGTGCCGCACCTGCGATCCCATACACGCAGGTGCAGTTATGACAGGTTCAGCCAACTTCAGATTTCTCCTAGGTCCAATTCAACTTCCGTTAAGCACCCGAAACTCACTCGAGGTCCCCGGGACCTCAACCAAACATGCCAACCAATCCTAAAACATCATACAAACTTATTCAAACACTCGAATCACATCAAACAACGCTAAAACCAAAAATCACTCTCCAATCCAAGCCTAAGGATTTCCAAAACTTTAAATTTTCGCTTTTGATCAAAAAGCCTATCAAACCTAGTCTGAATTACCTGAAATTTTGCACACACGTCCCAAATGACACAACGGACCTACTCCAACTTCCGGAATTCCATTCCGACCCCGATATCAAAATCTCACTATTGAACCGGAAACTTCAAAAATTTGACTTTCGGCATTTCAAGCCTAATCAATCTACGGACCTCCAAAACACAATCCAAACACACCCCTAAGCCCGAAATCACCCAAAGGAGCTAACAGAACCAACAAAACTCCATTCTAGAACGTCTTCACACTACTCCGACTATAGTCTAGATTCTAAAGCTTAAACTCTCATTTAGGGACTAAGTATTCCAAAACACTCCGAAACTCCAAACGAATCCTCCTGGAAACTCACAATAGCAAAAATAAGCATGGGGAAAGCAGTTAATAGGGGATCGAGGCATTAATTCTTAAAACGACCAGTCGGGTCGTTACATATTCCGAGCAAGGTCGAAATTATAACCCGTTGTGAGTTCGAGCGAGGTTGAACTTCTCTCTTGGCGAAGGCGGATGGCTGTAGGGGTGTTATTTCGAGCAAGGTTGAAATTATAACCCGTTGTGAGTTCGAGCGAGGTCGAACTTCTCTCTCGGCGAAGGTCGCTGGCCGTAGGGGTGTTATTTCGAGCAAGGTCGAAATTATAACCCATTGTGTTATTTCCGTTAGGGGACATTACTCGTCATCGTGTGGTATATGTATGCGTCGAGGCAATCGTTCGCTTAATTTCGCTTTTATTTGGAGAATACTGCGCGTTTTCTAAGTGAGTCTCAGTTCGCTCAGTTTTGCTTTCATTTGGAGAATACTGCGCGTTGTATGGGTGAGTCCCAGTTTGCTCAATTTTGCTTTCATTGGAGAAAGCTACACGTTTTATGGGCGAGTCCCAGTTTGTTTGACTTTGCTTTTACTGGAGATTATTGTTGTTGTTGTTGTTTTTCTTTGATAGTTGTTTTGTACCGAGCCGTTTCTGTCATTTGTGATATGTTGTGGTTTAGGGGGCTTCGCTCGGTCATTTCTTGCGAGGTGGTATGCCAGGAACCATTTCTGGGGGTGTTTTAGTGGCGTGGGTCCCTTGCATGTGTACCCATGCGAATTCTCGCGTTCCTGTTTTGAACCAATCAAAAGAGTGAAGATAAACCAAAATGAAATTGTCTATTACCTCGATCTAACAAGCCGGTGAAAGGGGGAGCAGCGTTGTATGGTCACTCGCTCCAGCTAGTGCTCGACTAGTGGTTTTTGATTTGGCAACTGCGTTTAGCTCCGCTATTTAACTGCGCCTAGACTTCTTGCGAGTTGGGCTTACGTTGCCCGTTGGGACACCGAGGCCGAGTCCCGATGTTCTCGATATGTGTACGTCATAAGGGAAACATGTCCTGCTTTGTTTATAGACCATCTAGCATGAGCAATACGAGAATAATGCGGGGTATGCCTGATCTTCCAAAGGGTCATGCAGTAGGTTGTCATCCCTTCCCCAGGGGTAGAAGTACGGGTCATTATACATAGTGAATACATCGCATGGGATCTCGGTCATGCCAAGTACATAGTGACCGTGGTTCTGCTTAAACCCCTCGTATAGACATCGGTCATGGTTTTTATTATGTAGGGATCTAACCTAGATTGATACGGTTATTTTAAGAACTTATCTACCATCCTTTTCAAGTAGGTGTTGTCCCCAAAGTGGTGAGATTATAACAGCCTGGAAGTAATACTTGACTGGTTCTGGATCGAAAGAAAACTAAAGAATTTGGCTAAGAAATCCCCACAGACGGCGCCAAATTGTTTAACCAAAAAATGTTGAGCTCTTTGATTAAATCAATTAATGATGAAAAGAGGGTAAATCTTAGACTAGTATAATCTACACTAGATCTAAGCACCATGAATGTTGAAATCCAAGAGATTGAATTTATATAACAAATCTCAGATTGAATGGAAAACATTAAATGTAAATGATAATCTTACAACTTCAGCATATCGTTTCGTATTTGTAGAAATAAAGAGGATAAAGGGTAATTCTTGTTGATGACTACGAGATTTAGCTTTATTGATTCAACGAAGAAGATAGCACATGTTTGTTATCCTGAACGTGAGCTGTTGCTTCTTCTTCTTCTTCTTCTTCTTCTTCTTCTTTTTCTTCTTGCCCCTGGAGATCTTTTCTCTGTCTTTTCTATTTTTTGGTCCCCCCCCCCTTCTGCTCTCATGGCCGTACTCCTTCCTTACACGCCCCTATGATACGTTCTGCCGTGTAAGCCTTTTGATGGCTTGATCTCGGCAACAGCCGAGATACTCGTCACCATTACGCCTCGTGGGTACGACCATGGCTTGGCCGACCTCTTACAGTTTCCTTTAATAATAACCATTTGATGGTCAGATTTTGACCTACACAGCCACCAAGCCTGGTTTCTTGATTAAGTAGTTGATAAATTAGAGCAAAATTGTATCGGTGGGCTCATCAAACTTTGGATCAATTAGGACTAGTCTTCCATCTTTGTAGAGCTGAACTTTGGATCCATTAGGAGCAAAATTATTTTCGTTGGCTGATCAAATTATGATTTTTTCTGTGAGTTTATTGATCAACCAAATGGCTAATAAAAATCCTCCATTTCAAATTTTTTTGGAAGCCAAAAGCAAATTCCTCAAAAGGGTATTGTCTAAAGAACATCACTTGTAGTGAGAAATGAACTTAAACTAACATTTTGGTAAAATTTAGCAATGGCTGAAAGATGAAGTAGTAAAACTGCAAGAAGATACATATAAGGGACAGCTGCAGAAGTTTCTTGAAAGCATGGAAAAACTAGTGCATGTTACATCTATAAATTACAAAATATTGCATGGGCGCCATAGTATAAAATGTTGAATAGGTAATTAGCTATCACATTTAAAATATAAAAGTTGAGGACATAAGGGGTCTTTATTACTATTTTTTACCTATATTTTTTTAAAAGCAAAGTTGACGCACAATCCTGGAGATCTTTGTTTATTTATTTATTTATTACCAGAAAAAGGGAAAAAGAAAAGAAATCTTGTTTCTTTTTTAAAGCAAGTCATCTGTGTCTTTTGGGGTATATTTAACCAAAAATTAGATTTTAGGTCAAAGTTTGAATTTAGAAGAACTCGGGTTACTGATAATCGGAAAAGTATATAAGAAAGAGATTTTGAATAATATAATCAGAAAGCAAATAGAACAAAGTATATTCCAGTAATATTTTTTCGTGTCCCTACAGTTGTTTGTGACTTTCCCTTTTATAGCTGTTTTGGGAATACAGATTTTCCCTTTGTCATAATAAGACAATTATGGGTAATTAATGACCTTAAATGTTACGTTATGCAATCATATACATTCAATACATATTCTCTAACGTTTCTAGTATTTAATACTCATTAAATGCTGTATCTGAGCTCTTTTTGCCGTCAGATTCATTCCTTTGTCTCTTCTCGATCCTTGACCTTTGAATGTCTTGAATAGGTACGAGCGTTGAATTATTTGTATGACTGCTCGTACCTTCTTCATTTAACTTGCTCGTATCTATCGTTGCTCGTGTCTGTTGTTGCTCGTATCTGTTAACCAACCTTAATTCTTTGACTGCATGGTCAGTCTACGTGCCATGACACATCACCATATAAATACAATTTTTCCCAATACAATACTTCCTCCACTCCGTTCCTATTTATGTGAACATGTTTGACTGAGTACGGAGTATAAGAAAAAAAAAATGAAGACTTTAAAAATTTTTGGTCCTAAACAAGTGAAAAAGGGGCACAAAGTATTTGTGTGGTTATAAAAGCTTCTCATTAAGGGTAGAATTGTAAGTTTAAGCAAAATTGTTACCAAATTTAGAAAGGAGTCATTCTTTTTGAAATGGACCAAAAAGAAAATAGATTCAAATAAACTGGAACATAGCGGGTAGTATACTAGTAGTTATGATGGCAATTACTTGTCATAATAGATTTAGGAAAAAGATGAAAAGTCAATCTTTCACATTGTTTTTCTGCCTACTTGCTATGTTTTTTTTTTCTTCAAACTTGATATGCTTTTACTACTATACCTAGCAACAAGTCGTCCATGATTTAGTGTGGCATTATTGAGATGTTAGCCGTAATTATATATAGTTGGGAAAGATTCATTATCATCGTCTAAACGGAGATTGAAAAGTAGAAATTCACAAAGATTGAAGTTTTTAATTCAAATTCTTGCACCTTTAGGTGGCCCATTAAGTGTTAATTTTATGGATCGTCACTCAATTTCACTTTATTATATACACCAAAACTCTTGAACTTGTATCTGCATTCGATATTTGTACCAATGAATGCTTGTGATGCATCAATTAAAATGCCAGGGGTTGAAAGTCTTCAATAATTGAAGACTAATAATTAACTATATGGACTCATCTGATCTCAACATCAAGGTTAATTAGGATAGTGATTACTTGCCCCATCTAGCAAAATTTACTCTAATTAATTAATAATCTTCTTTGTAACTCATCATCATAGGAAATTTAAAGTATTTGTGATCATACAGAATTGCAAAAAGAATAAATAAATCTAGGAAGAGGAATAACATAATATACAAGGATAGAGCACCCAGAATAGGTTCGAATTATGCACTATAGTAACATGACTAACATCTAAGCCATCCCCAGAAACTCCTCTTAATGAACAGCAAAGAGTATACAAAACTCAAAAGGAATATCTAGTAGCAAAAATATCATGACACTATATAATATATATCCTAATTAAAGCTTAACCTTTTTCTTGCACTTCTGATCTTGAATTCTCTGGCTAGTGATATTCACAGTAATACTGCAATTCATCTTCACAACCACATGTTTCTTAATCATCTTCAGCAAATTGACCTTCCCACCAACACTTGTGAAGCTATTTATAGTAAGCAAACCAGTGCTTATATCAGCTAGTAAGCTAGGGTGCGACACAATCTTGTCCGTAACAATATCAATCGTTATATTCATCCTCATTGTCCGACGTGCCTTCGACTTCCCCGGTGGGCCCCGCGCCTCCCCGACCACCGTGTCACGGTAGGAAATTGTGGTGGTTGTGTTACTATACCTAAATGATGCATAATTAGGATTCTTTACTGATACATCAGCTTTTATGGTCATGTTGGAACCTGGTTTGGGCATGGGAATGGTGCCAGTGTTAACAAGGTCTAGTTTATCCACTGTCACACCATTCATTCTAATAATAGGGTCTTTTATTTTGAACACTGTGAAGATCAAAATAATGATTATTATGGCTAGAATGAGAAGAAGGATAGATACAAAAATACAACCTTTGATGCATCTTCTTTTATGAAATCTTCTCTTGTTTAACGTTGTTTCATCGTCGTAGCTACTCGGCCGCTCTGATGCTGGAGCTAATGGTCTGACTTGCTCTCTCTCCACCATTTTTATTTGAGTTTGAAGCTAATTAAGGGGAGAAATTAAATGGTTATCTTTGAAAAACTATGGGACTTTTTGTGTTTGAGCTTGTCCTTTATATAATGTATTGTGAACGGAGATGATATGTATGGTGGGCTCACTCTCCTGCCAATCTTGACTCTAAAAAGTCTTTATCTTAATGAAATTCTGTACTAGAAACAGTGAAATGAAAACATATACAGTACAACATTAGAATTGTGATGTCAAAGAACTGAAAATCTTGAAGTGAATTTCTTACTGATAATTGTATGAAATTGCATGCTTTGTATTTCATGGTGGTCAAGTAACTAACCCATTTATTGATTTCCAAATAAAATATAAAAGTAAATATAGTCAAATAATACTCCATTTCTATTGATCTTCTAACCGTAAAGTTGGAAAAAAAACAACAAAAGTGAGAATATGCATATATATATATATATATATATATATATATATATATATATATATATATATATATATATATATATATATATATATATATATAGGCAAAAAGGTCTCGTGGCCACTTAAACTTGTACCCGTTTGCCAACCCGGTACACAAACTTACACTTTTCCCATTTGAGCACTCCAACTTGAGAGGATGAATATCAATAAATACATCCAACAGAACGTGTATATTAATTGCGGTAACATGTACAACACATCTTATGCTGGACTATTGATTACTTGACATGTGTCATTAGTGGGACCCATTTCTAAGAAAAAAGAAAAAAATGAGCAATGACCAGATTGAATCGAACAAGATGGATACCCTAATCCTTTTCAAGTAAAGATTGATAATGAAAAGAAATGGAAAGGGGATGGGGGGCAACATGGAATTGGGCAGTTGGGGGATTAGATATGGAACTAAAGAAATGGGGATGGGGGAGGGGGACAAAGTGTTGGGTTTTCTTTTTCTTTTTTATTTTTGTTATTCTTTTCATTATTCATATATTTTTTAATACTTTTTCTATCAAAGTATTATATTCACGCGCTTTTTAAGCGTGGTTTGCACACAATTTGGCCATGTCAGCTATGTTGCCTCCACATTAAGCATGATCAACAGTCAAAGTGGTTTATTAGTTAACAAATATTCGAGTTGAAGTGTTCAAATAAAAAATATATAAGTTTGTATACTGCGTTGACAAACAGGTACAACTTTAAGTGGCCACGAGGCCATTTTGCCTTTTTTTTTAACTCATGACTTGGTCTCTTAATTGGGTCAATATGTACTACTACTTCTTCTTCTTCCTTTATTAATTGCATATAGAAAGCTGTTTGATGTTAATCAGCAGCTTGATTGCAACATTATATAAATACCTAAAATTGACGTATTTGAAATCGTCAAAATCCAAAGTCCTCAGGGCTAGAGATATTTGTTTAGAGCAAATGCATGAAAATATGGTTGAATAAAGTACGTCTGAATATCCAAAATTATTCGAAATCATAGGATATTGTTGGTTGGTTGTTGGAGGAAATGCTTGAGAAGGGCCACCTTATTTATTATGCTAATCCCAAATAGTCAATTCTCTCAGACAGCAGTTGTTCAAAAGTCACGCAACACTGAAATTAATGAAAGCTTTCCAACATAATTTGACACATGAAAGTCTTCGTATCTTTTTTCAATAATTGAATGATGGTCGTTTGAGAAATTTAAGTGTTAGCAATTCTAAGGCAGCTGCTTCATTTTTATCCCGATTAAGATGTCTAAATTTGAAAATATATTTAATTTTTAAGATAGTAAAGGAACTTTGAATTGGAACGCTGAATAATTAAGTTGGTTTATTTTCTGAACATCTGAGTGTGCATAATGTGAGTTTTCAATTGAGCTAGGTCATGAGCTCAATTAATGGAGCAATGTAACAGTGCCGTGTAAGGAAGAAGAAGAAAGAGAGAGAAATGAAGTAGGAAACTTTATGTGTATTTGATTGTGTAAAGAATAACATATACAACTCTGTATTTATATACACAACTAACCTCTACTTAATTAAGCTAAGATCACTAACTATTGGTAACTAACTCTAACACCATCAACTAACTCTGCCAGCTGTCCTAACTAACTTGACACTTGGCTCATTACTTAGCACTACACAGTCAACTCCTTCATTCTCACACTGACCCTCAAGCTGGAGGGTGATATTGAGCACTCCTAGCTTGCTCAGTAGATATTCATGCTGTATTCTTTCCAGTCCTTTAGTCAATAGGTCTGCCTGCTGATCCTTAGTTCCAATGTGGTATGTCTTGATCCTTCCTTCCTTGATCTTATCCCTAACAAAATGTCAATCTATTTCAATATGATAGGTCCTTTCATGAAATATTAGATTAGCTGCAATTTGTAAAGTAGCTTTGCTATCACACAATATCCACTTGTTGCTTGATAGAGACATTAAGCTCTGTAAACAATCTAAGTAACCATACAAGTTCTGCAGTAGCTGCTGCCAAGCTTCTATATTACGCTTCTGCTGAGCTTCTAGAAACTGTTTGTTGTTTCTTTGACTTCCAAGACACCAATGAGTCTCCAAACTTCACCATAAACCCAGTCACTGATCTTCTAGTGTTAGGGCATGATGCCCAATCTGCATCACAGTAACAAACCAGACTACCTGCATGCCTGCTACTCATCAGAATCCCTATTCCTGGATTCTGTTTGATGTATTTCACTACCCTTACTCTGCTTCCAAGTGAGAGTGCTTAGGTTATTGCATGAATTAATTCAATGTTTGAACAACAAATATGATATTTGGCCTAGTGATTGTTAGGTATATCAACCTTCCAATCAACCTTTGATAGGCTGAAATGTCTGCCAACATCTCATCTCCAGCTACTCCAACATGTCTATCAAACTCAACTGAGCTGAATTTTTGATTCATATAAAGTGGTGTAGCTGCTGGCTTTGTTGCTCCCAGACCTAGATTAGACACCAGTTGAAGTGCATACTTCCTCTGGTTCAACAAGATCCCTTGATTGGATCTCATGGCTTCTATCCCTAGGAAGTACCTCAATTATCCAAGATCCTTAACTTTGAATTTCCTGTTTAAAACATTCTTTGTCTCCTGAATAAATTCCTCATTATTTCCTGTGATGAGTAAGTCATCAACATACACCAACACAGCTACAAATTCTGTTCCCTTTTTCTTTGTGAATAATGAGTAATCATAGAGACTCTGACTATAGCATGCATCCAGAAGAGCTTCAGTAAGTTTGATGTTCCATTGTCTTGAGGCCTGCTTCAAGCCATACAAGGATTTCACTAACTTGCAAACTTTTGTCTCCCCCTGTCTTCTAAGGCCCTTAGGCAGTTCCATATACACCTCTTCTTATAGATTTCCTTGGAGAAATGCATTATGAACATTCATTTGGTACATGTTCCACCCCTTTGAGGCTGTCACTGCAATGACTGCACTCAAAGTTACCATTTTGGCAACTGGTGAGAAGGTCTCTTGATAATCTAGACCTTCCTTTTGACTGTAACCCTTGGACACTAATCTAGCTTTGAATCTTTCAACTTCTCCATTTGCTTTGAACTTTATCTTGTACATTCATTTTGAGCCATTGGTGTTCTTTCCTTTAGGCAAATATACTATCTCCAAAGCCTTGTTATATTCTAAGGCTTTAATCTCCAACTGCATTACTTCCACCCATCTTTTGTCTTTAGATGCTTCTGCAAATCTCTAAGGTTCTGTCAGTAAAGAGATCTTTGCTACAAATTTTTGGCAAGATGCTGACAGCCCACTATATGTTAAATGGTCTGATAGAGGATACAATGTTGCTCCATTAGACTTCTTTTCTGTCACATAATCCTTCAACCACAAGGGCTCTTTGACATTTCTGCTAGATCTTCTTGGTTCTTCACTTGCAAGGGCAGGTTCTATCTCTGGTAATGTGTCTACATCTTGTGGCAGATACATTGCATCATGCTCTTCCTCACTTACAATGTCATGTAATCTTGGTGTTGTACTTGGTTCTCCTTGTGTATATTCATTTGCTGCATGCTCATTTTGCACTTCCTCAGTAGTTACATTATCCTCACCAGGAATTGGAGTTGAATCCACTATTGGTGAAACTGCACCTTCTTGTAGATGAGAAGTTGATGCAGGTTCAAGGCCTTCTTGATCCTCTTTATGTAGAAAGTCATGATCAGCTGGAAATGGTTCTTGATGAACCTGCACACTCCCCCTATCATGGACCATCGGATGTTTCAATAAGGAAGGCTGGACAAAAGGAAATAAGTGCTCCTTAAACACAACATCTTTGCAAACAAAAAACTGGTTAGTAGAAAGATCCAACAGCTTGTAGCCTTTCTGAGTTTCTGAGTATCCAAGATGGACTGCTGGTTTGGCTCTTACTGATTATTTCCATGCACCCAAGTAGTAGCATAGCAGAGGCAACCAAATACTCTCAAATGGTAGACTGAAGGTTGTGTATGATACAACAACTCATAAGGTGTTTTTCCATCCAGAACAACAGGAAGCCTATTGTTAAGGTATACAGCAGTAGTTATGCACTCTCCCCAATATCTGGTTGGCACATTAGCTTGAAATTTCAGTGCCCTTGCTGTATCAAGAATGTGTCTGTATTTCCTTTTTACCACCCCATTTTGCTGGGGTGTGTATGCACAACTACTTTGGTGTACTATACCATAGTGATCAAACATGTTACAAAAATGTTTATTAAAAAATTCTCCTTCATTGTTTGTTCTAATGGTCTTAACAATTGCATTAAACTGTGTTCTGAGCATAGAAAGAAGCTTCTACAATATTACTATAACATCACTTTTTAATTGCAGTAAATGGACCCAAGTATATCTTGAATAATCATCCACGGTCAAGAAAAAATATTTCATATCATGCGTAGGGAACTTATAAGGACCCCAAACATCCATATGTAACAATATCAAAGGACTAACACTTCTAAAACAACTTCTAGGAAAGACCAACCTACTTTGTTTAGCTAAAGGACAAACTGAACAACCTTTATTTACATTTGGATCTACTGTTGCATGTTGAAAAGACTTGATATGCTTCATTGTGCTAACTGAGGCATGTGCTAATCTCTGATGCCAAAGATGACCACAAATTCTGGCTTTTGAGTGATGGCTGCTGATATCTGCTGCAACACTTTTGCTATGTGTGTATCCTTCACCACATGTAGACCTCCTTTTTCCTTGCCAATCCCCCTCACACTGCCACTCCAAAGGTCCTGAAATACACAGAAGTTAGGATAAAGATGAACTGAGCATCAAAGTTCCTTTATGAGTTTGGATACAGACATCAAAATAAATTTGAAGTCCGGAACAAATAATACATATTTCACCTCCAAATCCTTGAGAATGGTTGCACTACCAGTATGTGTAATGTCAGTTCTCTCACCAATGGGCAATTGTACCTGTTCCTTTTGTTCACTTTTCAACTTAGTTTTAGAATGCAGTAAGTCTAATGATGCAGCTATGTAATGAGTTGCACCAGAATCAACTATTCACTCACTATTAGAGCAATTAGTCATTAGAGATGTAGTAATACCTACCATGTTTACTTGTGGTACAAATGTATCCTTATTAAGCATATTCAGTATTTGCCTGTACCAATCCTCAGTGAAGAAATGCCCTGCTACTTGATCACAACTTGCTCCTTTTTCTCCATTCATTTGTGTCTGTTGTTCATGCTCAAGAACACCAGTAGCATTGTTAGCCACAACCTGCCTTTTTGCCTTAAAGTCTCCTGGATACCCTATCAATTTAAAGCAATCTTCTTTCAAATACCCATTCTTATGACAATAGCCACATATCATGAAAGGTATCTTCTCTTTATAGGGGTTTTCCTCTACCAACTTGTATGGCAATTGGCTCTCCTCTAGAAATTGTCCCTCGATTAGCCTGCATAACATTTGCATCTGCTTTAACAGCTAAGACTGGATATGGGCTTGACCTCTGACTCTCATCTTAAATAATCAGAGCATAAGCCTGATTCAGTGTTGGTTCTATTGTCTTCATTAGAATTTGTCTCCTTGCTTTATCATATGATTCATTGAGACCACTCAGAAATTGAAGCAACCTTTGCTGATGAAGATGCACGATATTATCCTTTGATTTCACACAATCACATTCAGGTGAAGGCACCAAGGCACTATAACTCTTTAAATTTTGTAAAATAGGTATCCACAGAAACTGTTCCTTGTGAGATTGTTACAATTTCTCTATGCAATTGGAAGATCCTTACACGATTAACCTTATCAAACCTCTCCTTTAAGTCCTTCCAAACTAAATAAGCATCAGATGCATAAGCTATTCCACTAACTAGGTTCTACGATACTGTATTCATGATCCAGGAGAGGAGAATTGCATTGCATGTCTCCCATTCCTCATATAGTTCCTTCTTAAAGGAATCCTTTTTACAAGTACCAGTCGCGAACCCTAATTTCCGTTTAGCTAGAAGTGCAATTTGCATCGTTCTACCCCATAATCCATAGTTTTCAGATCCGGTGAGTTGAATTGGAATCAAAACTGAACTCGGCGTGTGAGAAGGATGAAGAAATAATGGATGAGTATGATCGATCTTATCATCTCCCATTTTTGAGCTTAAGAGGAAGATCAATTACTAGGATTGACAATAAAATTGCACTGTTCGTTTACTCCTAGTAACGACTGCTCTGATACCATGTGAGCTGAGCTTCAATTGAGCTAGGTCATGAACTCTATTAATAGAGGAATGTAATAGCGCCTGTAAGGAAGAAGAAGAAAGAGAGTGTCACACCCCAAACCTGGGGAGGCGTGGCTGGCACCCGGTGCCAAACTGGCCCGAGCGAACCACTCTGTAACTCATTCATTCATTTTGTAACTATCATCGGCCAATATGGCCATAACTCCTAATGTACAATCGCAAGTGGGCAAATGTTATATCGATGAACCATATTTCACAAAACATGAATACATATGGGCCGTCAAGGCCTCTGACATTGACATATTGTACATAATAAACCTGTGTCTACAAAGCCTCTAAGATTATTTGATATAAAATGGGATAGGGTACCGGCCTACCCATAAGTTTGTAGCAAAACTCAAACACGATGACTTATAGACTCGGTTGCACTCCGAATGAGGTGGAGTCTTACCGATCCTTCGGTGATGTTGAAACTGGGCTCTAAGGCTTATTTGCCTAAATAAAAGAGGTTATCTTTATATTTGATCGAGCTAATGTGCCCAATTGAGTTGTGGTAGCACGGGTTGGTGCACGAGGTATTAAGCAGTGATTTTAGACTACTTCAGTGCAGTTCTCAGCACGTTCGAGGACGAACGTATGTTTAAGTGGGAGAGAATGTAACGACCCGATCGATCGTTTTGAGATCTAGCACGTCGTTCAGCGGCTTGAGGTCATGCGTAGCTTCACTTTAGGTATTATGACTTGTACGCATGGTCGGAATTGAATTTCGGGAAGTTCGGAGTTGATTTGGAAAGAGAATTCCCGTTTCGAAAGCTTTAAGTTGGATGAATTGACTAAGATTGGATTTTTGAGTAAACGACCTCAAAATCAGGATTCGAAGGTTCCAACAGGTTCGTATGATAACTTCGGACTTGCGTGTATGCCCGAATCGGGTTTTGGAAGACCCGAGAACGTTTCGGAACCTGTTGTGGAAGTTGGCATTTTTGAAAGAATTTCATAAGTTTGGATTGAAGTGCATTTCAGTGTTATCGATGTCCGTTTGTGATTCTGAGTCTGGGAATAGCTCCGTATGGTGATTCTATTATTGGGAGCACAATCGAAAGTGAATTCGGAGGTCCCTAGGTCATTTTGGAGTCATTTGGCTAAAGATAGAAATTTGAAGGTTTTTGAGGAGTTTGAAAGGAAGTCGACTTTTTGATATCAGGGTCGGATTCCGATTCCGGAAGTTGGAGTAGGTCCGTAATGTCGAGTATGACTTGTGTGCAAAATTTGAGGTCAACCGGACGTGATTTTATAGTTTTCGGCATCAAATGTAGAAG